CACGGCTTCAGTAGGTTATATTTATATTCTAATCTCCTTTGAGCAAGAGACATTTATCAGTTTTCTTTTAGGTCTTAAGTATCTGTATATTCTTCTAGGCATTGAAAGATGTTCCAACAGCAATGGAGTCATTCGAAAAGGTTTTGCAAATCAATCCTGGCCATGTTGACGCAAGAATCAATCTCTCCAGTTTGCAACAGAAGATTGGACAGTCTGATCGTGCTCTGGAGACATTACAAGACTATGACTTGGACACCTGCACACATTTGCCGGTTTGAATTATACATAATATTTTGGATAGACCAACTCTCTATAATTTAGCCAGATACTTAGGAATTTTGTTATCAGTTATCCCTAAAGTTTAGGACGAAAGATTGCTCATACGTCAAACAGACGTGCTTTTCGACTCGCAGAAAACAGAACAGTTTATTCGCACCTGCCGTATGCTTCTCACCCCTCATTTTTATGAAGTCCACCGTAATCAGGAGAGCATTGGCAGGCGTCGCAATTCAAAGACAGGTACACTCACATTTGACCTAAGTTCAAATTCTTCCTCAATGTTCCCAGATGCATGCTTGCTTCGCTAGCTAGTATGTGGTTTTAGTTTTGAGAGATCCATATTTTGGCAGCAAAGGAAGTCATTCCGATAATTCTCTTCAGAAAATTTGTCGGTGTATTTATAATAGGAAAGATGAAGTTAGCGTGAGTTTTCGTTTAGCCGATCCTCAGCGCATCAAAACAGAATGATTGCTACTGAAAGTGAACCTTTCCACGCATTTACTATAAAACATTGCAAGTCTGTTGTAGTGTTTAGGGGTGTCGCAGATCTTCACATAATTACACACTTGTAATTTTTACACCAAATATGACTCATAAACAAGCTTCAGCAGCTTCTTGGAAAATTGTTTATTGTTACTCTTTAGGATTTTTCCTAAGCAATACGTTACGAGTGGCTGCCATGAACGCTATAACAAATACGAATTGGGAGAAGTTTGTTCGTCGACTTGGAGCTGCTGCGCACAGCGAACGTCGCAGTGTTGATGATATGGATACTGGCTTGGTAGGCTTACTTTCCTTCCTAAGCCCAATCTCGGTGGTGGAGAGCACGAAATTGTCAATTTTATTCATCGTATTTTTAGATGCACGACTATTGTCTGAGACTTATTGAGTGTTTGCTTTCTTGTAAACGTTACCAGGTAAGCCCTGCAATATATTTTACAAAACATTTGTAGCATTTTAAGTTATCGGGATTAAGATTCAAAATTGTGGACTTGCTCATCACCGCTTGGGAGGGAGATTAATTTGACAGCTGTTCACTAAATACTCCGCATAGTAGAGTTTACTTTTCGATTATAGGTCAAAAAAGGAACAAAATTACAAATTTGCCTAAGCTTTTATGGGGATTATTGGATGCTGAATTGAGTCTTTAAATGTTAAGGTGAAAATATGCGTAAATGATACGATATACATAATCAGCATGTTAAATGACTCATCAAAGAATTTTAAGCAAATCTGTGAATCTGACCATTTACCGTTTACCTACTGTATCTCCACAGCAAGATGCTACCACGAGATAGATACGATATCTGTAATGTCAAATGACTGGATAGTTTGAGCGAGTTCGAACTTATGAGCTTTTTGGATGAAAGGAATGGAATGATAGCGAAAAAGATAAGAATGGCAATGTAATCGCGAAATTTTTATAGGATATGCTTGTCGTTTGCTGCTACGCATTCCTCCAACCTCGCATTACCAAATCGGACAAGTGAGTTATTGTTGCGTTAGCTATCCTATCTATTTTTTTGATATATAGATCGGCAACTTTCCAAAATCTTCTGTATTTTTGCGCCATTAAAGCGCAGTGCTGGACAGTCGCTTTCGAATACGTGCGCTGGTACCATAGTCTGACTAATGTGAGTACAACATGGAGTCAACTTAGATGTCAAATGTCATATGTAATGAATTGTC